TGTGCAAAAAAAAAAAAAAAAAAAAGCCTAGAAAAATGCCAAAAATTACAAAATGTCTCCCAAATGCACCTTCTCAAAAGAAGAGCACGACACCTAGATGAGATATGCTAATTCATATCTTCTATATAAAGAAGGCTTTAAGATGAGTGACCAAAAAGGAGCTGATTGGCGAATAAAAAGGCCAATGTTTAGTAACAGACATAACTTAATATAAACCCTGTTATGTCAATCTCCTTCATTAGATGAAGGGCAGTTTCTCTTGTAGTTTACATCAAGACACCCACCCAGTTCCAGTTAATTACAAGCAGAAATTTCTTCAGGCATATTTCAATTAGATACTACATTTTGTTCTCTTTGGAAAAATATATTTTGTTCCGCACATTAAAAATAAACAACAACGTTGGGAGTCTCCAACTCCACCTTGAAAATATCAGAGTTCTTGGTAGCTTCGTAGAAGAGCTAAGTACAATGTGTGGTTCTGATCTATTCACCCTTAAGAAGAGAAGCAAAATCATTTCCTAATAGTCAATAATAATGAGACGACGTTTGGTGTGATTAATTAAAAGACCTGAGATCTAAGGGAAACGACAAGCCTACATTTGATTTATCAAGAAACATCTTTGATGAGCAGATTACCGCAAAGGAAAAGGAGTGGGGGGGAGACATATTAAAAGGATTAAAAAAAAAAAAAACTTACCTCGAAAGGAAGGAGACAGCTGCCTCTTCACGACGACTGTAACAAAATAGGCTGTGTGTAGTTTCTCGCTTGCAAATAGCCACCTCCACGCAGCGAAAGGATCCCCAAACATCTTTAAAAATCTTTGCAAAGGAAAACTGAGACTTTCTCCCATGATCGGTGGTTGATTCTGAAGGTTTTCTCTCAGGATCTGTGGGGGCGTTTGGGTAAACCGGAGAAATATCCAAAGAAGATTAAAAGCAAAGGCAGCAGGAGCCAGAAGACTCTGGGGTTAACAACTTTGTAATGGCAAACAGGCGTGTTCTGATTGGTTAGGAGGGCAGTGTCCCTCCATAGTCTGCACTATCCCCCGCTCTCCCCCTTCTGCAGCCTGGAAAAAATGCAGAAATGCAGTGTGCCATTTTATACAGGATTTTAAAACACACCCCAACCCTACCACCCAAAGCCTGGCTTCATATTTTGTGACCCTGCAAAACAAGACCTCCTGAAAAGCTTTTCTAGCTCTTTTCCAGTACATAAATGTGCCCTCGGGGAAAGAGAAAAGCGAGCAAGAGAGAAAAAGAAGGAAAGAAAGAAAAAGAAGAAAGAAAAGACCCAGGCACACAAAATAATCCACTCGTTCCTACATAAGAGCTTTGGCAATGCTGCCCTCCCACCTGAAATATTTCTTTAAAAATTAGGGTCGACTAATAAAACGCGTTTACTAACCCTCTTTTCACAGTAAAGGCACCTAATATAATTTCAAAGTAAAGGTAGCAACATTAGTTTCTCTGAATGATATCGTAGTACCTAAGAAGCCAGTCACGCCTGGAACAAAAATGTATGACTGCTGATAACGAAAGAATATTAAAACAGCAGGAAATACTTTCTTTTCTTCTCAAATCTACATACCTACCGTCATAAACAGAGCTAAGAACATTAATTTCAATAGATAGATCCATTGTGATAGGTATAGTTATTCCACAAAGACTGTTCAAAAACCCCTCCTTATACTGACTGACAGAATTTTACCATGCTGCCCACAAACAAAATGGCTGTGGCACTGAGTTTTTTTGGATCCTCCCACCGTTTCTCTCCCCCGCGGCCTCCGGGAAGTGGTAGAAATCCAAAATAAATCAGTACTCCAAGTACGATGTACGGTCCAAACTTCACAAGACATTAGCAGGACGAGGGACTCTGACAAAACGCTGGTTTATTTTTAGGGATCTTTTTCATTGTTTAAAAACGTGCTTCAATGTCGAGAATTTATATGGCTGTGTAATTTGAACTTCCTGCTTTACATATGTATAAGGTCTTTCACCTATCTTGGCAGGCTTTCAACTTAAGTGTGCTGGGAAATGTGATGCTGTGTGTCTCCAGTTGTGAGCTGAGTCAGATCCTCAGAACCTGTTATGTGTTGGTAAAAAGGTTGGTGAAATCCCTGACCTAACAGAGAAAAGCAAAAATGACAAAACCTTTCATACTCAATCCTTCATTTCCCTTTTAGGTTTTCATAAAAGAAAGTAATTGCACAAAGCAAGTGATTAAGAACACTGGTTTTACATATGTACACATTTTTAAAAAACTTATTTTCTAGGTGGTATGTGTTATTGCACAGATAGGATATAACTACTTTAAATTAATACCAGTGGTTCATTATGATTAAAATAGTAGAACCTGTGTAGGTATTAAACCCTTCTTTTCTTTAAGCTAAGGGAAAATATATTTGATTGATTGATCGATCGATCGGTCTATCTATCGAAAGCTTTTCTAATCCATCCATCACTGGCATCTCGGGACAGCTTAAAACCGCCCCCCCCACACCCATTTTTACCCACTATTCATTTCAAACTTGAAACAACATGAAACTTCCTGTGCAATTCTACAGAGTGTATAATACTCCAAACTGAGTTCTCATGGGTATCTTGAATTTGAGTTCAGTGAAAGCTGTTTTACCAGCAAGCTCCAAATAACTTCTGAAATAGTGCCCACCAAAGAATACTACTGATTTTGAGGATGGCAGCTTTAGAGTGGCAAGCCACAATTTAAGCCAGTGTGTTTGAACTAGTTTAACTTAAATGGTAGCAATAATACACATCAAAAGGGCCAAGTTGCTTTACTTAATTGCAATGGAATAAACCTACAAGCAAGCATCTTACTATCCCAGCTTCACAGCCTGATTTCAAGAAGCTGCTTTAACCAGTACCAGTAAGAGTACTACTCTCTTGATGGGTGGTAGTTATACAGTACATGTGACTCCCTTTGTTAAAACAGCTTCACTATCTGGCTGTTTCTAGGTACAATTCAAAGTGCTAGTTATGGCCTATAAAAGCCCTGTAATTATTTGGGACCAAGCTCCAGTAGAGAACTATTTCTTCCACTTGGGCTTGTTTGAGTTTTCATATCTTCAGCGAAGGCCCCTCTCTTGGTATCACCACCAGCAGAAGGATGCGAGAGAGTGCCTTATCCTGACTGCACCTTTCTGGCTGTGAAACCTCCTGCTGAGGGAAATTTGCTTCTGCTCCTCTCTGATGTCTCCTGATTTCTGGCAAAGACATTTTTATTCAAGCAGGTCTTTGGCATACAAGCCACTCTATTTGCTGAAGAGTTTTTTTTAATGGACAGCACTGTTTTTCTCATTGTGTGCTTTTCATTGTTATTTATTAATACTATGTTTTAAATAATATTTTGTTAAACTGGATTTTATTGTTAGCCTGCTTTGAGTGCCTTTTTGGGAGAAAGGTGGGGTAATAAATTAATGCCTGCATTTGTGCTACTGTAGCTAAAGCAACATTGCAGGTTTCTATTCAACAAAATCTGCCCATGGCATTTCACTGCACAGAAAGCCTTTCACCTTTTTATTTTAAAAATGGATGGTGTTGCAAAGATACAGAACCTTTGTATTCTGAATTTGTGTAGCAGTCCGAAGAACATCCAAAGAGAAGTGCTGGATAAGACTGAAAGCCTGTCTAGTTCAACATTCTGTTCCCCCAGAGGCCAACAAACATGGAGGCCTGTGGGAAGCTCACAAGCTGGACATGTGCAACAGCACACTTCTGTGTATATTCCTCAGCAGCTTGAATGCAGAGATATAATCATTTATTTAGACTGCAGTCCTATGCATGTTTAGGTTAAAAAAAATAAAATGCTACAACTTCCAGCATTCTCCAGCCATATCTAAACATGCACAAATCCTGTACTGGGGAAGGCATTTTGCTAGTGTAGTACATGTAGGGGCTTCCCCAGACTTGTTCAGACATGCCAGATCCCTAGAACAAAGGAATGATTACCTCATACTAGTGATATCAGTGAAACCGGAGCCAAGTCACATAGGCAGGGATTGGGAAATCCCTTGCCAGGACTCAAGCCCAGAGTCTCAGGTAAGAGTGGGAACCACCAGAATTCAAATGAACCAATCAGAATCCATGGCAGGAATTTCCAATGAACCCCTGTCTGTACTAGCTGGTTAACAAAGGTATAAAGGGGATTCCACCAATGCTCTGGGTTGATCACCCTTTTGCTTATAATCAAACTATTAGTGAAAATAAAATGCTTATTTTTCTTCTCACTCTTGTGCTTCATTGGACTAGCATGCCAAGAGTGGACTCCTTATGTCCTTCACCTTGTAACCTGGTGCCAAGCTGCTGAATGTTTTACCTACCGATAGCAAGATGGGCAATGGTTAAGAAAGCACAATGTAGGCCAAACTGCTGCAAGCATCTTTTCTACCTCTGCAAGCTATAAAAATAAGCTGATCTCATGCAGCTGACCCAAGCAGTCACTGGACACCTCATAAGATGCTGTACAACATGCAGCATTCAAACTGCATGAAACCAAGTGATTTTATTGAAAGCATCTTACAAAATTATCACAGCAAGCCTCTGAGGTTTCCAACATGGGATTTACAGGGGAAGAAAACACACCCCAAATACTGGAGAACTGCTTCAGAATGCAATAGAGGCAGGAAGGTAAGACTTCTTGTGCAGTGGTAAAGCTAGTATGATCTGGCATGATCATACACTTTCTTGCATGTTTGATCAGCCTCAAAATGAGCCATATACCACTTATACTCTAGCTCAGTCTTTCTTAACCTTACTTTGGAGGAACCCTTGAAATAGTGTTCATGCCTCAAGGAAACCCTGAATAAAAATTAGTGTAAAGTTAGGCCCTGGATTTAATGTAAATAAAGATTGTACATTGATTTTAATTAGTGCTATTTACAACATTAAATTTATTGACAGTGTTGAATAGTACTGTATAGTAAGTGAAAAGCATAAGATAAAGCATTATGAACAAAACATTGGCTAAGACAGTGCTATTTTTTGAAACTAAAATAATGAAATTCTTTAATGTGAAACTTGTGCTTGATTTTTGCCACACAAGTACTTATTTCTAGGTTGCACTTTGGGTATCAAGTTAGGGAAGAGTGATTTTGTAACACCTTTCAAAATCTGTGAACCCCTTAGTCCAGGCTATGCACATGAACTTGGATGTACCATGAAATTTAATTTTATTTATATTTATGCTATTTATTTTCTAAATATGACATACCATCCTACCAACCTTCCCATAAGAACTGCTTCGCAGATTAAGAGGGGAAAAGTCTCCTCTAGCCCGAACTGGTCTGCCCATGGGATGGGTTCACCAGCCAGTCATGAAGGCAGCAGCCTCGTCTTTCTCCCAGCACTGCACCACAGAGATAGACTGCCTCCATCCATGAAGCCTTCACTGGTGGCTGAACACTTCCTCCTTTTGCTGCTCACTGACCAGGGCCTGTTTCTCACCTTTTTACCTTAGTGGGCTGGTGCCCATCTGTAGATTGCAGAGAGGGTGTGTGATGAAAGGAGGGTCTGAAATAAGGGCTGTTGCTGATTTAATTCCAGGCACATGGAATCACAAGCCTGAGGTGGATATGCTTCCTGCTCCAGTCTCTTTCCCCCTGGACATTGACTAACTCTGGGCCCTTCTCCTAAATAATTGTGGCAAGCAGGACTTATCAGGCAATAACTCGTGTTACAAGTATTTTGTTTGCACATTCACATGCATGCATGCATGCATGTGTGTATTTTAATGGTCTCTTGCAGAAACCACATTGACTTATTGCAGAACCCCAGGGTTCTGGGGAAGCCCTGCTGAGAAAGTCTGCCCTAGCTTTTTGTCAGCCAACTTCATCACCTGGAGTTCACCAGGGAGTGCCTTTGGCTCCACAGTGCCAGAAGGGACACTCAGAAGCAATTATGTTATCAGCCCATTGTGTCATTCCATAAGCCATATGGTGGCTTACAAAAAGGACAGCTTCCCCTGACTGGGCAAACAACCTTGTACAAAATTGTCCCCTTGTAAACTTCCTTAGGCAATAGTATTTCCACAATTCTATTCCAGTTTGAATTAAAATAGCAGAAAAATACATATTGGACATATTCCACAATCTTCAGTCTAGGTGTTTAAATAACTTTGTACTTTATATCCTAAGCTATTTGTCAAGTGTATGTCAAATACTCCAAGCCTCCTGGCATATCAACCTGGATTAAACAAGCAAGGAAACAGCACAGGACAGAATACAGTTAATCTTTTAAAATACTGGATTGCTTAGCTAACTTGAAGCATGCTCTTGAAAACTTACTGTAGGTATATTGCTAAGAATCCTAAAAGCCTGTTTTTATAGTATGCAACTGGATTCTGATTGCTGTATAAGAAAGCTATAACTGGAAGCTATAATATGAATGT